ATTTTGGTGAAATTTAATTTGATTTATAAGAAGCTTGAAAACATGATATATTTGTTTTACTTTTTTATTAAACTAAACCAGGTGTTATAGAAAAACAAAGTTTAGCAGCTGTCAACTTATAAATGTTGAATCTTAAGAGAAGAGAGGTAGATTACAGGATTTCGCTCGTAATGGATCATCCGTCTAGGGAAGTAATCACCATACAGAAGTAGAAGATCACAGTGAAATAACACTACCTTTTGGTGGTGTTTTGTTTCTGTCGCCAAGTAAGGTCTCCTCTGGGCAGGAGATTGGGTCCGGGAAGGCAACAGCTCGATTGATACACTGGTATTGCAAGCGTCTAAAGGCTATTGAAGAGCTCGACAGCGCAGGTGGTTAGTGCATTCGGCCTGCGATCGTGAAAGTGAAGCAATTCTCGCAATGTGAATGAAATGTGTCTTTGTGGTTAACTTTAATAGGATTGCACCAACTTTTGTACCGTCTCATTTATGCTCTAATGATTTAATCTCCATAGCTTTGATCTACGCAATCAAAAGCATTAGATAAATCGTATAAAATTCCAAGAGCATTCTGCTACCTTTTCTAAGCATGGAATATATACATTTTTATAACAATATGGCATCAGTAGTGCTATTCTGTAAAATGTTTACGCTCGGATCCGATGTGGTTCCGCGCGGATTTATATCGGGACCGCGAGTGAAAATTTTACTGAATAGCACTGCAGTTTTAGAATGGTTTATAGTGTGCTTTGCACTGTGTAAAAGTTTATTCGGATAATGATGAGGACTAAAAATATAAATAATTTAGTTTAGTGTATCTTCTTTGTGTCTTGTGTAGCTTAAACCTAGCAAAAGATTTTTTATGATAATATAATTATGTAGTTATATGTACATGTAATCAGTATCATTGTAAAACCAAGATGACCGCCGCTACAATTTTTTTATGATGATTATGTTAAGAACAGAATACCATATCCTATACCGGCACTTTAATCCGCTGGCTGACGTATTCAAGTTAGTAGTAGTAAAATAAGTAGCGATTGGCGTTGATTGCCGAGGCGCCGTCGGTCGAGGTGTCCAGACGCCGCAATTAGGAAGTGAGCTTCCGCCGCCCACCGCCGGCCCGCGCGGCGCCACCGTCACCCGAGGAATTGCCTGCAATCGGTGCTAATTATTCTATCCTCCACTGGTACGCATTGGTTACACCTACTTACGTCTTGCAGTGTCGTATACAGTTTCCAGTTATTAGAATTACGGAAAAGAAGTGGGTTGGCGCAGACATGACTCTCTAAAAATCAGTGTCTAGCTACAGTCACGCAGCGAAATTAATAAAAGTTTGTAACGGGCGTGTTTTAAATGCCGTGTTTTAATACAAATATTAAAGAACAATAATTTTTTGTTTGGCAAAGTTTCGACTGCAAAAACAGTACTTGAATTACTTCATTATGACCGGAAAAAATATTCTGTCATTAGTATAATAGAGCTATGTCTAAATATAATTTATTGTATATCCTCATTTTGTACACATAGTGCGTAGTTTATACTTAGTAGGTAACTTAATATTTTAACTGATAATTTATTATTGTAAAGGAGATTGCTCAAATTGGCCCAAATGCACAAAAAATATTGACATGTACGGTAATTCTTAACGTAATTTATAAATTAATTTACAGTCATTAGATTTCAACGGACACCTTTGTATAATATATTTACTTTAAAAAGTACTTTTAATTTTACCGGTTTGGAAAACATACGAATCATGTTTAATGGCTATGGGTGTAGTAACATTCAGCCAAAGACTGATCGAAGTTGTTTATATAACATAAAAACAAATCTATTTTGTAAAGATCGATAAAATAAATCATTTTTTTTATTACACTGTGGTATTAATATCAACATCTTTATCATTTTTACTACATGCAAATGTGCTCAGACAATTATTATAGATGGTAGGCGACATCATAAAGTCTATTGCCATACATTTTTCGCCAAACACCTCCATAAACACATTATAATCTGTATATATGTTAGACTTTAAGGTATCTATCTATAGGCCTACGTTGCCTGACTATAAATTAATAAATAAATAAAATTATAAGGTGTGATACACTAAAAATCTAAAATATGGTTATATTAAAAACATAATAAAAATAATGAAGCTACTGAATATAATATATTTTCTGGCTATATAACCTAAATCTCTTAGCTTTCTTTGGTTAACGAGAGTTTAAAAATTCTCCCTATTCCATCCATAGAGAAGGCCTGTGCCCCAGCAGTGGGGACATTAATAGGCTGATGATGATGATGTGGCTCATTTACAATCATCACACAGTTTCTGTTACAGAGTTCCTTATTATAACCGGAAATGCATAGATGACACCTGATTTTAAAAGTTACTCTTATGCATTAACTTTAAAAACAGGCAACTATCTGTTAATCTACATGCTCTATATACCTGAATCTAATCCATAATTTCGGTACTTGGCTTGATTTCCCTAGTTTACTATATAACTTATTTGTTTTTTATTATTTTAATATGTTCAGTGTATATGGTTTATAGAAGTTCTCAGGGGTGTCCGTCAATATTATTATTTTCTACAGTAATTTATATATAATTTTAAATCTAGGAAACATTTTTTCATGATTATTGGTCTTTAGGCCAAACATGTATGGAAGCTGAGCCATCTCCTTTACATATGAAATGTACGAACACAGCGATAAACTGTTAATTTTTATCATATATTCCCTGAAGTAATTCCACTGTCTTTTTCGACACTTACTTCATAACACAAACTTTGAAGGATATAAAAAAAAGCAACGCTCTTTACAGCTTAGATTCATTTACAACGGTAAGTTCTACTTGAATCAACAAAATTGAGTTGTCATTATTCCGACCATTAAAGAGGGTCGTTACGAGTGACGGGCCGGGCACGCGCCCGATTGATATAAATAGTCGTGCGGCTACTATTAATGCATTAGGGTGGAAAGAGATTGCAGAAAACACATGCCTGCAAATTGATTTGAGCTGTTCTAGGAATGAGTTCGCGTTGAGTTGTATACGATGTTTGAAAAAGGAAAAAATGAACTAGAAGTTAAAAAAAATGGGTTTAGCATTGATTTTATAATCTGTCTAAGTAAATAGGTGCAATATTTTTAACATAAAATTAATTACATAAAATAGCGTAAACATTTAAATAATAACGTATTTATTAGTGTGTTAAAAACAAATAAAACCTAGTTTTTTGAAGTAATAACAGTGAACACTTAGCCTTATAAAATACTTGTGAATTAGGTTAACCTTTTCAGTGTTTTATTATAAAAGCAAGTCTTGTGGAAGGTGTGAGTTTTATACAGTATAAAAAATTACCAGGGAGAGTTTAACGAAAAACAAACGATATTTCAAATGACTCTCCAAATAAAATTTATTTTAGCGGGCGAAATAAAAAGGATCCCCCAACTCGATATTTCTACGCAAATCCACGGGGCTAACGAAGTGCGCATAGGAAGAAGGAGCACTACATTTCTTTAATGTGCCATATTTTAAATTCCCCTAGAAAGCCGCGGCAGTGCTGTCATTACTCATCATTTGCGGCTCGTCTCGTCATGCGGCCATTCAATTTGTTTATATTTCACGCCACTCGATGTGCGCCCGCTGATGTATCGCGTTCGCCCTTAACGCCGAAATATGGGGCTTTGCCGATATTTATGACGACTTTATCTCAACCGGAGGAAGTGTGTTTCTCAGTCTAATGTGGTTTACAATCCGTGACATCTTTTGTGACATTGATTCAAATGACGAGTAATGTAAAAATATGAAGAAGTAACATCACTATAAATACAAACAACGAATTAAACCAAATATTTTGATAAAGACAATGTTTTCTCGAATTGTCTAAAAACATTTTTTTATTACTTACATTTGACTAAGTTCAGATTTACGCATATATGTTTCGTCAGTAAAGATTAATTCACGTAGGGAAGGAAAAGAAAAAGTGTGTCGGAATACTTAAACAATGTAATATAATTGAATATGTGACAGACGCATGATTAGGATTTAGAGGAGTATCTAAAGTTACTGGAGGAAAGCAAATACTTTATTTTTTTTATTTAAGAATTTACCAACTAATTATACTTTAGTTGGTAAATTCAAGAAAAAATTTACTAGAGAAAATCAACTTATTTCACGATTATTTTTAATATTTTCAGGAACGCAACACAGGAATTGTTATTTTTTGTTTCAGTATTCTTTAAGATGAAAGTTAAACGCAAAGTAACTTTCAAGTATCTTCTGATTTAAATAAGGTTTACCGTAATGTAAGGCACTGGCATACTATCCCCTAATATCTTACAGTGTTGTGTAAACGCGAGCTATTCAATACGAAGAAAAATTTGTTCTGCTTTACTTTAAACAATTCAAATTAAGTCTTTCCAATTGCCAATTTACCTATTTGACAACTAACTTTCTAATATATATATATATATATATATATATATATATATATTAAAAAAACAGCCCTTCCTGAGTTTCTTGCCGGTTCTTCTCAGTACAAGGTCTCCCAAATAAATGATTTTTGATTTTGATACAGCTCGGTTATACCGTAGAGTCCCAAGAAAGCGTGGAGAATTCTCAGAGATCTCTCTTGAGATCTCTCGCCTGAGCCGTAAACCGAAATGCTTCGGATATCTTACAGCTGTGTACTTATTCGTGATAGAGCTGATAGCTGATAGCCAGCCATCCTTAACGCCTGAGTCGTCTCTATTGCCAGCTTTCCCACCCACCTTCACCAAGAGCCGAGACGGCCGCTGCTGAAAGCTTAATAATTTCTTACAACCGTATATTTATTCCATAGAGACCCTGGGAAGCGGAGGCAGCACAGTGGGAAGCTCAAAGCCATCCTGTATGTCTCAGCTGCCTCTATTACCCGCATTCCCGCCCTCCTTCACCGAGACGGCCGTTACTGAATGCTTACTGATGCTGAAATTACTCGATTTACCATTACCGAGACGGCCGTTGATGAATGCTTACTGATATTTTACAGCCGTACGTTTATTCCATAGAAGCCCTGGGAAGTGTGGGCAGCACGGCGGGAAGCTCATGGCCGTCTTCAACGCCTGAGCCGTCCCCATCGCCCGCATCCACGCCCACCTCCGCTGACGCAGCCGATGCTGACGCCGAACCACCGTTCACGCTGGGCGCCACCGAGCACACGCCCTACCAGTGCCAGTTCTGCGACAAGGCCTTCCCTAAGTTGTCTTACTTGAAGAAACATGAACAGGTAAGACTTACTCTAATCTAACTTTTCTGTGATAGTTCCACTGACATTTTTCAATTTGAATCAGTAGTTCCTGAGATAAGCGTGTTCAATCAAACAAACAAACTCTTCAGCTTTATATTAGTATGATTACGTGATACGTGAAGTATAAATGGAAAGAAATGGAAATCTAAAATTTCAATTTCTTGAAAGTAGTAAGAGAAGATAGATTAGGGAACAGAAGGTTTTTAACTATGTTATATTATTATTGAAATAACAACATAGTGCACAATGAGCAGATAAATCTTGTAACTTTACCTATGCCTGAATCTGGTTAGTTTCGAAGAGAGAATAGGTTGTTCTCGTCTATTGCCATAAAGCCACTTGACTAACGACATGAGTAAAATGACTATTACGGCTGTCATATCTGTGGATTCACAGTCCAGTTTCGCTATACAACCCCTTGCTTCATTAGCAAGTAGATACCCAAAACGGCCCATTTACAGAGCCGGTGCGTAGATATGCATCGCAGCCGCCTCGAGAGCCGTGCCACTGAGCCTGTGACGTGCCATTACGCCGCTCGTACATCTCGGCTCCTTTGTGCTTTGCCGATCTCACCGCGTTACGATTACAACACGCCGCGACAGATCTAGCCGTGATAGGGTAAATAGAAACGTCACTTTGCATGCCGCCGCCCGAAACTCACCTACGCACAGATACGAATCGTCACGTGCATATGGAGTGGTAAATATGTCACCTCTGATTTGGGAGGTCTGTAAACTATTGAAATTTATCCTAATATGGAATCTAATTGGTAGATATATTTTAGATTATCGGCATGCAATTGCAGTCACTATAGCGCCTTCGATAAGGATCGGTGCGTGCGTGGACTCTGTGCGGTGATGGTGCGCCGACAAATGTATCGGACGATGATCGCGCGACAGACCGCTGACGGCCGGAAATAGGTTCGAGATAACAACTCCCTAGGCTGCGCACCACACCTTTATCATCGCGCCGCGCTGGGAAAGGCGATCATTATAAGAATAAATCAATTACAGACAGCTCCGAGCTGCTATTCGTCTTATCCTCGCAGCGTCGTCGGGAGAAATCGTTAAGCAGTAAACGTAGAACAGAAAATATTACTGTGGAAGTTGAAACATAGGACTGGCTGTCCGAGTTAATTAAGGCGTCGGATATGTATTGTGGCGCATTTGATAGAGCAGAACGGCTGAGTCAGCGCAATCGCGCTCGTAAAACTGTCGGCGGGCGGCGGTAGCCAGCTCATTCCATGGGACACCACCTCACACCCACTTCTGATCAGTTCACCTTTTTTCTTGTAAACGATCTCTTTATTAAGATGAATATATTGGTTTATTCATAAAATGATTAGTGTTCGGTGATGAATGACAAGGATAAATCAATGTTAGTAGGCTGCTATGTAAATTATTTTTTAGAAAACGGATTATTCGTTGTTAATTTAACAACGGTTTTGTCAGTAACATCAAATAAGTTTCTGATATCGAGTCCTTCCCTTTAGCTCTAAGATTGAAACACTAAAATCATGATCATTTTGTTTTTATGACAAAAATGAACTAATTATTTGGCAGTGTCGTTTAAAATACAAGGAGAAACGCGAAATACTGGATAAATTCAAAACAATCCGTTAACTTAAACACGTCTCGCGTCGTGTGTATATAAATAAAAAAAAGACAGTGACCAGTAGCCGGATTGTGAGAATTTATATTTTCGTAGTGGCACGGCGTAATTTAATTGAGAGCACCGTCCAAGAATTTAAAAGACCTGACTACTTTTATCGTTCCCCGAGATCTAATGGTCGCTCACATAACGGGTGTCATACAGGTGGCCGACATTTTGGCGACCACCGCGCTGACCCTGGGGTGCGCACTGTTTGTGTGAACGGTCCACCTTACAGCACTGGGAAAGTCGGTAGTTGAGCGAGCCCGAGCTTTAATGGCTATCAAGTGCGCTTCGGAACGAGTTTAGAATGTCTTGGTGCGCTTTACGCGGAAAACATTGGGCCGTAATGTTGTACGCTCTCACGGTGTTCTCGTTTAAATTATAAGCAGCGTTAGTCGCGTGTGTTATCACCATAAGCTGGTGCAGTGTCGTGGTGCGAGACGGTGCAGGCTCTCACTGCCCGTGTACCCAGGGGCGAATCCCGCAGCGATTCTCGTTACTGTTATTGAATTCTCGCACGAATTATTGTGATGACAAGTTTTAATATTTTACAAAATAACTTTATTGCGGCATTTCTTATAAATGTTGACATTTGCCAAAACGACATAATTAATTCGAACCTAAATACTAAGAGTAAGTGAATTGGATGGAAACACGTTTCGCTTATACATGGATGAAATTATAAGATTATTTAAAAACATTTTATTCTTTCATATATTTCTTATATTAGCCAACAACGCGGTAATATAAAAAGCGGCTAATATATAAGAAAACTAACTGGGCTTTGCATCGTACCTGTTACTCTATCTCGCGAATGTTACTAAAAACGTGCGTGGGCCTGGGCTCTTGCAATTTATTGCGTACGGACGATCGGATTTATTAATTCTGTCTGGGGCCGATTGCTCCAATTAAGCGAGCGGAGTAAACATGCCGCGGCGCAGTTTATGCATTCTGCCACATCAGTAAAGAAGGCACAAAAGCAAAGCTTCATGCTTGCGCGTGTGTGAGTGGTGAGCACTGGCGGCCACCAATTTAGAACTTTTCTCTGGTTACGATAAAGTGCGTCAAAGTTTGAGAGTGGGAGCTTTTAACGTCACTTCTAAGTAAAATCTGTACCAAGACGTAACGTCATGCGGCATTTCAAATCGAAATATCTGTGTTATGTTTTGATTATGTGAAAAAATTAAAAAAATACCTTTCCTATACTTATTGATAATGATGGACGAACAAAAAAAATTTGTCGTCATCGCTATTGTATGAAGCTTTCTCTCTGTGCCTTCTTTACTCATGTGGTTCTGCGCCCGCGCGAGCCGCCGGCTGGCGCTACGCAGTAACACTCGTGCGTCACTCAGCCATCCGTCGCGTCGTAATCACAATTGCGATTAAGATATCACTCAGGTTAAGCGTATTGTGGGAAAAGCTAGAAAATGTCACACACACACCTAGATCGCTATGCGCAATATGCTCGTTGCACCTACACTTATATGACTCCTAGCAAAGATACGCCTGAGCATAAGCATCGCTTTATATTTGGTTTGCACCCAACCCAAAACTCTTTAAGATTCCTTAACTAACAATATTCCTAATAATTAAATGAAGATACGTCCAAATAAAGTTATTTGTTGAGAAAATATTTTGAGACGTTCGAAAAATTATTCGCTCCGGCGATTACGCCGTCAATCCGTCATAAAATTCAGGATTAACTCAACAAGTTTTATGATCGTCTTATGTTATAATTTTATAATTAGTGTGTATGTTAGTATATAATATTGTTTTGATTCAATAATTCATGTATTTCTAATGTAAAATTAAATATATATATATTGCTTTCTGCACTCTCACTCCATGTAAACTTTAATTAATATTTAGGTATGCAAAAATCTCATGAACTTAAAAGGGCTACCGTATATTCGATCTCGTCATTTATTTTACCTTTATTTAAGTAGAAAGCAGTTCTCAATGGCGGAAGCGGCGTCTGCTTCACTTAGCACAATTACACAGAGCTGTAATTTATAATTGCCACCGATGATATGCCCTCGCTAAGCTCGTGGCTAATTGACTAGTGTGAGGAAAGATTGTCAGGATATCCTCACAGAAATTGTAGGAGTTTACAACGAGACAAGTTACAGAGCTTACAAATGCAGGAAATCGACATGGTACTAACCTACTAACTAGAAGTATAAAGTTGATGTATACATATCTGCCGATTATATTGCTACTTACGTTATATTTATGTGCTACTAGGCGCCGCCCGCGACTTCGTCTGCGTTAACTTTAGTTTTTTGAGAATCTCACAGGACAGGAACCTATAATTTTTCCGGGATATAAAAAAACCTATGTCTGAATCCATATCATAAACTATATGCATACCAAATTGCAGGCAACGTGATTCCGAATCTGTAAAACTTTGTTGACATTTAATATATACTAGCAAACCAGTGAACCAAATGTTCACCAAAAAAAACAAAAAAAATGTATTTAATTAATTGAGAACTTCGGAGATTTTGTGTGGTTTGTGAAATAGAAATCACGTGATTTCTCGAAAACCGGAAGTGCTATGTTACTCACATCCGGTTTGTAGTCTTATCAGACTATTCTTAACTTATAACTTAAACATTCTTTATATCTATCTCTTACGGTTTGGCCGCTGAAACAGCACCACGGACGGACGGACGGACTTGTCTATTAGATAAGAGATAATCAACAAGTATATTTTTATCCTTGATGTTGACCTTACAGTAAGTAGGGAGACGCTGAAATACGTGGAAATTTGATGGAGCCAAGTCGCTCTGACTAGTGCTCATACCTGTGGTAGTAATTAAATCTACAGAAAATTTTCCAAAGAAAATAATCCACCCAGTTCTTTTTTTCCTCTTAGGACTAAAAGGAACCCTAATAGGATCACTTTTTTGTCTGTCTGCCTGTACGTCTGTCCAGGTCCTTTATCTCGGGAATGCGTGTAAGTATAGTTTTGAAATTTAAACCATATCCTCAGGTCTACGGTCCCTTGTAAGCTGTGAAATCATCAAACTTCGAAGTTCTAAGAAAATAGATGTAGCTGTTTTTTTCGTACTCACAAATTTATACAAAACGTGGGCGAGTCGGACTCGCACTTGTCCAGTTTCCTTGCCCATTTTGTAGTAAAATCTCCTTTTCAATTTTTTTTTGTAAAATTTTCTATAAGTAGATATAAAAACTTAGAAGTTTTCTGTTCTAAATAAAAACCACTAACGCTATTATTTTCGGACAACTGCGGCAGAATGTGAAATATATATTTGATCTGTTGACTTCGGACGGGATATACCTCAAAGCTAAAAAGGTTTTTC